AGAGAGAGAGAGAGAGAGAGAGAGAGAGAGAGAGAGAGAGAGAGATACCATCATTTTTTAATGAAAATTTTAACCTCAAATTTATGTTTTGCCATTAATTAACAATATTCTTTCGATAACTTTTCGCTCAAGGAAAATAGGGACGGAAAATTCTTGGAAACAGAATGTTATTGAGAGCCCCTTCTTTTCACGGCGCATGCATGTCAGCCCGTGATTGGCTGATAGGCAAAAATCTTAGCAATTAAGAAGAAATAAGTACTAACCTCTAACCTTCCATCACATTTGGCTGTTACGCGCGCCTACGCTAACGTCGATATGGTGGAGACGCGATATTAGAATTAGTAAACGTAGTGGAGGGGAAGTAGCTTATGCGAAAAGTAATCGAAAGAGTACTGTTTACAATTTAGCTAACGAAAGGACTTGTAGAAAGGTTTCGGGTGATCAGCAACATTATGAAATAGATATTTCGTATAGGTATATGTATCCATATTGAATAATACAAAGTGGTTAAAAATTTTGGAAACAATTTGAAGATTTGAAATATCTTGTAAATAATGCATTAAAAAAACGTTTTATATAGAAGTTATAGACTTTAAAAAGACACATTCAATGACACTATCCATTTAACTGGCGTTCTCAAGATTACATAGATCAAAATGGACTTTATTATTTCAAATAAAAATCTATACTTTTTTATTACATATGTTTTTAGCTAACGTCAAGATGTTTTCAAAAAAGATATAATACATCTCAATTCCGTATTTTTTGTATTATCGATTGACAAATTTGACCGTCGGTATTAGCGTTATCCAATATATTTCACGTGAAGCTTGCACGGTCAGATTTATATCACTTCTGTGTGTGCATATGTATGTGTGTATATTGTGTATCATAGCAGAAATAAAGATCCCATGATTTGTCATTTACGTAATATTTTATGATACATATGCACAACAGAGATTCAAATATTATAGGAGTGACGAATCGTGAAATTCATATCTCTACTGTGACACACATATACACACACACGCGCACGCACACACATACACACATAAAATATAAGTCCGATCTCAACGTGGTACAATCTCTACGTGGTATATTTTGAATAACGCTAATGCCGGCGGTGCTTGAAGTTTGTCAATCGGTACTGAAAAAATTCAGAGAATTGAGTTTTATTAAATCATTTTGAAAACATCTCGAACGTTAGCTACAATAATATATTAAATATATAAGTAATAAAATGTATAAGTTTAAGCTTAAAATAGTAATTTTAATATTGATTTGACTTTGAGAACGCCACTTACGGTCAAACAGACTGAATATACGGAATCCTTGAACGCGTCTTTTTAAACCTTATCAGTTTTGTCTGAAACTTTTTTTCTAGAATATATTGTTTATAAAATATTTAACTGTTTCTAGACTTTCTAAGCGCCCTGTAGATATTTATATCCTTTCACTCGCATTGAATTGCAATTAGATATATTTATAATTTTCTAAAAGTGGATCAATTTACAAGAAAATCTGTGTAAAATATAACAAAAAATATACAGAATTCTTAGGTTATCAATTATTTATTCTCTAATATTTTCAGTATTTTCTTGAAATCCAGATTAAAGAATTAAAAAAAATCATGATAAAATCATGCAGCGACGCATTTTATAAAAAAAAACTTTTATAATCACTAATAAATTTTATTTAGTGTCTTAATTTTTAATTCAAAATCTTAATATTTTTTCTAGCTTGATAAAATGGTCTCGTCGAGATCTGACACGAGATCTAAAAGCATGTCCGAAAGTTTTCTGGGTGAAAATTTTCTCAGTGACAATTTACCGCCTGTACCACCACCACCGCTTAACTACTCCATATCTACTACTCAAGTATCAGGTATAAAACATAATACTTTTACTACTATTTTTATATAAGCTTCCGATATATTATAAAGTTGTTCTAATTAATAAATTATACACAGTTATTCCAAAATGTGTACATATAAAATGCATGGGTCCAAAATTCATGAGTTATTTTGTATCTATTGAAGTTATCGTATCTATTGAAAGAATATTAAAGTTTTCAGTAAATGTATATATTAGAGATTATACCTTAAATATAAAAATAATAGTATATTTTAAATATAAAATATATATATTATAAAAAATAAATAAATAAATATATATATATATATATATATATATATATATATATAT